GTTTTTAAGATAGCAGAGTTTTTTCCTTTTTTTTCTTCAAATTCCACCTTATTCATTTAACTTTATTATTTTCCAATTAACCATGTGCTAGAAAATAACTTCTATAATGACTAATTATAAGTATAAATGGTTATAATATTCCATCACATGAAGGATGTTTTGGTTTTAGTTAAACAACAACTTAGATTTGCAGTTAGCTTACATCATAACTGCAATTTAATCCTTCACAGTATCCTCCTCAACAGTGGCACTGTAGCCAATATATTGCTATACATTTTAATTGCGCTAGGATACCTTTTTTCATAAAGAACACAGTTCCTTTCTGCTTTAAATAATGAAATAAATATCCTTCCAGAGCAAAGAGGACTTGGCTATTTTATAAAACTTTTATCAATCTGTCAATAGTAATTAATTTATGATATGCTAGTTATCCATTTTTGAAATATAGCATACATGTATAGCTATTATATTGACATTCATAAATTCTCTTCTTAATTACAATAAAAATACAAACTCTTATTAACTGTGTCCCCATTAATACCCTTTCAGATTAATATTATTATAATTATTTTTAAAAAATGAATAGCAATTTCCAATACAGAATAATTAAATATAATTGTTTTATTGTTGTATCCTCTGTTGTACTGCCAATGTATAAGAAATGAAAATATTTTACATATGCATTCCAAATATATATATGTGTGTGTGTGTGTGCAAAATTTGGCTAGTTTTGTGCTTCTTTATCATTTTCTAATGGTAGAGTCATGATTGCTTACTTAAATAAAGTCCTTTAAATTAGACCTAAGTTCTCATTACATATTGTTTTAGCTTCCTGTAGAAACATATTAATCTCCTTGACAATGGTGAGTTATTATTCAGGATAAGAGAAAACAAAATCTGAAAGTGCTGAAGTTCCTCAAAAAAATATCACTAAGAACTCATTTTATCAAGCAAGAACAAATTGGTATTTTTCACGTCATACCACCACCTGTAAATTACATTATTTCTTTCAACAAATTTACAGAAACTTGGCAAAAATACTACAATATTATTCTTTTTTCACCAAATAGTAACTAACTGCTTAACAAATGTAAAGACTATCAATTACAAAACAATATTAATTTCTTCTTGTTGGTAAAATAGCAAAAAAAAATTTTTTATGTAATGGAACACTGCTCCATATCAGTTAAAAAAGTTCCTAGTAAAATTACACATTTATTTTGATGATAGTTGTGGTGATAAATGCTCCAATTCACATGTATGTAACAAGTTTATAAATCTTATATAATGTGTATTGACCAGCCATTTTCTTTAGACTTTCTCACACTTGTACAACATTACACTTTAAATATTCCAAAAAGACTGATCATGTGACATGCCTGGTGTCTGCTTGAGTTCTACTTTATCTATATATTTTCAAAGCTTTGTGTTATTTATCTGTTACCAAGAGAATGTTTCTCACTAGAAGAAACTGACAACTGCTATTCATTGACTGACAGAAATTATGTTGGACATGCTTATACAGTGTAATAGATGTCAGCTTGTTTTCAAGTTGACCAATTATTGTTCTGAATTTCACTATCTCCATCAGAACCATCCAAAGAGCATTACAAAAACCGTGGCACAGCAATTAATAACCATAATTGACAACCACTAGTCTCGGACACAAACAGGTTATCATGATTTCTATGGTGATTAGAACAAAAACTGTGGATAAAGAATGATGTCAATCAACATTATGAGTTGATTTTCACATTTTTATTCATTGAGATTATAAAAGAGTAAAAAGTTTGGAGAAAAACATGAAGAATGTAATGATGCTTATCTTGTCCAGAGGTTCAAACTGCTGTGGGGGAGGGGAAAGGATGTTCTTGGGTTAGCTGTTAAGTCCTTTTATTTCCTTTGAAAGAGCTGATAACATCAAGTGTGTATGCAAACATTTCCAAAATTGATCTTAAAAGCATGACAATAACTTTAGTCCCTTCCTATGGAATCAACACAGAGATAAATATTTTAAATGTAATAAGTATAAGCCAAACTACAATTTCTTAGTATAATTCTCAAACTCAAAGTGCTACTATATTAAATTGTATATTATGTGCTAGGTGTGTTACTAACATTGTAAATAGTATCAAATTTATGGTTAAAAAAAATTAAAAATAGTTTTATAATGAAAATTAGAAAAAATTGTAAAGCTATTCTTTTTTTTAGACATGTAGCACTGTTTTTCTGGATGTACAATTTTCATGTATTTACCTTCTTGAAGAAAAAACTTAGATCAACTTAAAAGATAAGTTTATAAAATGGAATGAGAAATAAGATATCAATTTATATTGACTTAGTACCAGTTTACATTTATGCTGTATATTTACTATTTATATCATTCTAATATTTTATATAACATACATGTATAAGTATAATGTTTTTCCACACGTTTATAATTAAAATATAACATTCAATTAAATCTTACTTCTTTAATCATCAAAATACCTCCAATAATAAGTGCTTTAAATATTGATAATTTCTTTTTGGGGAAAAATTTATTAATTTTAAAACACATTTGTTCAAGTAAAAGCAATACCTTTTCAAATAGTTAGTATTTTTAAACAGATACACACCAGTCACGTCATGTTTTCATATGTTTATTCCAAAAACAATTCAAATGGTAAACTACATGACATATCTATAGTTTCTACTTGTTTATTTCATTACCTCTAATTTGTATGAGATAACTTTTTCTTCGAAACATATCAAATCTTTAAAGAATCTCCACTATTTTATTTGCATATGAACTCTCAAAACAAAATTGTGTGCTTTATTTCTGAAAATAAAACTAAAGTTATTTTATATTTCTTACAAATTTACTATCAACAGATCATGTCTTAGTTTTCCTATTCAAAAACTTGTACAAGTACATAATTCGCTTATTGAGGTCATGCCATTTAGTTGGTCGGGCAAACTTCCAGTGTGAAAATGCTCTCCTCTTTCTTAGAAGCATTTGATATTCATTACCTTGAAAACCACGAAGCCAGCTTGGCACGTTAATCAACAGTTTAGTGGGATGAATGCTGCCATCACCAAGGATATCTATAAGGAGTTTGAAATACTACAAGACTTGCTTAACATACCAATATATGAAGAATCTTATAA